AATTCAACCAGCAGTAACTGATATGGAGAGGTTCCCCCCCCCCCCCAAAGCACTGTCATCTGCATGGTATGTTCACAGAGGGAAGGGGAGGGGTGGTCTGAGAGCTAGGCATTGCTAGGCAGGGCCATCTAGAAGGGGACTCAGAGCTGTCCTTGCTATGCAAGGCAGTCACGGGGTGGGATGGTTGGGGTCAGCTTTCCAGTGACACTGTTCACTAATTAATTAACCTAGGCTATTGAGCATCTTAATTGGATTGTCAATCTGTAACCAGGCCATTGAATTATGCACAATTGCCATGGCTGAAGCACAGGTGTACCACCAGTTCTCACCATTCTCTGTTGTGTGGAACAGGATCCTCACCCCTCTGGTAAATTGCATGGGTAGGGAGCAATCTGCACCCATTGCCACCCCCACCCTGAGCCATTTGCCACACCCAGAGGCCTGAGTCACCCCAAGTTATGAGCTACCCACATAGTTCCATGCCCCCGAATGTGCCACCAATCATCCTTTCCCTTGGAGTTGCTGAAACTTACTAGTGGCTGGTGGCTGGTGTGGCATTGTCCATTTCCACCTCCTTGATGAGAATCTTGTCCATGCTGTCCCCATCTTCTGAGTCCCAGGTAGGGTCTGGATCTGGGTGGGGAATAAGTCCACCAAGCAGGCATCTTTGTACTCTTCCATGTTCATTTTGGTAGCAGGAGGTATTGGGGTAACTCCATTATTGTCTTCATCATGGACATCATTGCACTGCACCAGGTCTGCAAGTGTGCAATGCACAGTGTGGTAGAGAGTGATGGCATAGTCCTCCTCAAGGCTGCTGAATAGCTCTTTGTGGTAGGGGACCCTTGCCACAAATCCAGTTCAAGGTTTACCCACTGGGGTGTGAGAAGGGCATTCTCTGGTCCTGTTTGGTTCATGAAGCTAGGAGATCACTGTTTGTACTAGAATGCTCAAGGAAAAATGAAGAGCCTCATCAAACCTAGAGGGTATCAATGGGTGGTCCAGGTGGTGCCATATGGGTCAGGGTCACACCACCTGAGGGCAGGGGGCATGTCACCTTAAAACTGGCACCACCCTCATGACGTATGAGTGCCATCTCCAGCTCTGAGAGTGGGGCATTAACTGGCTTTTTAAAAAGGAAATAGGTGCAGATGGAGTGAGGAGGGTGGCATTCACTCCATCTGCACTTGGACCTTGGGGAATCCCAGCAGTGGGAGTTTCACCTTGAGGAACACCAGCTGCTCCACCAAACCAGGGTCCAAGAAGGTGCAGTGGGGTGTCACTATATCCCCAGCAATGCTGAACACTCTCTCGCTTGGAACACCGGTCAGTGGACAGGACAGGGGTCTGCAAGCAACTGTGGCCAGTTCCGTCCACATCTGGCTGTGGCTTGCCCAGTAGGCCAAGAGGTCACACAGTAGTGGCTCCATGTCCTTAGCAAGATAGGTAGCCACCAAGGCCTGAGTGCTACCTTTTTGGTTGTGGGGATGGTGCCTCTGGACCCCACCATGGAAGCCATGCCCTTGCCTCACATTGGCAGCACCTATGGTGGAGGAGGAGACTGGCTGGTGGTTGGCATGCTAGCATGAGACAATGGATCCCCCTCTTCCACATCCTCCCACCTCCAACATTCTGCCTCCCTGACTCTCTTCACCAGCACCTCCATCCACTGGTTCAGGGTTTGACTGCTATATATGCTGCCCTTCACCCTCAGGTCACACATGGTGGCCAGCATATGGACCCTACTGGACTGCAAGGGATCAAGCCGTTACCTGATGCCCTCCTTCAGCTGCCTCACTGGTGACAGCAGCTTGCCCTAGCCAGGAACCTTGATCCCCTGGAAGCCCTCCATTTGGCTCTGAAGTTCCCTAATTACAGAGATCACCTGGCTAAGGAAGACATCACCAGCACTGAGGGTCTTGGTGGACTCAAGGAAGGGCTTGAGGACCAGCAAAGTCTGGGAGATGGTATCCCACTCAGCTATGTTAAGGGGGCCACTGATCCCAATCTCCCTGTGCAAAGCCATCTCATGGATGGCCTTCTGTTGTTCCATCAGCCTCTTGAGAATTAGGTATGTGAAGTTCCACTGAGTCTCCACATCCTGAATGATTTTGTGCTGCAGGATGTTCAGCTCTGCTTGTTTGTCCTGCAGCATCTTGCCCCCCTTGATGCTCCAGAGGAAGTAGCCCACCACCTTCCTGCATGGGGGTGTGGAACACAAACTCAGCTGATTCCTCCTTTTTCAGAAATGAGGTTGCTGGTGGTGCTGGTGCTGTCACTGGCAGCCCTGTCCCCCTACAAAGTGTCCCTGACAATGAGGTGGAACTTGTGCGCCACGGACTGCCTTGACCATATTGGCCCCATTGTTGGTGGCCATGAACCAGTGGGTGAGCTTGCTCTGCCCAATGAGCCACCCATGCACCAAGTGGTTCATGGCCCCCATGATCTCAGTTGCTGTGTAGGACTCATCCATCACTTAGGCTTGAAGGAGAGCCCACCGATGGCCTGACTGGTCACACCAGTGCCCTGTGAGGGAGAGGTAGGCGTGATCTCCACCCTGGCTGCTCCAGATGTCCAAGGTGAATTGCAAGGCCACCTACAGACCTGCCTTGTGCAGCTCCTCCCTCAAGTACTCCCTGCATGCCTCATACAGGGAGGTCACAACCATCCTGCTGAAGGTGGTGCTTGTGGGCACTTGCTAGGGTGGGGCCACAAGTGCCATGAGCTGCCTGAACCCTGGCTGCTCAGCTAAGGAGAAGGGCTGGCCATCCACAGCTAGCTCGCTTCTGGGGTGTGGGTTCATGTGTGGATGCTGCTGTATTTTCCCCCTCCTCAGCAGGCGGAGGCACAGCAACAGGAGGAGTGGACTCAGCTGAGCTGCTTGCCTCCACAACCTCTACATCAGACTCATCTGAAGTGCCTTCTGGGGAAGGAGACCTGGTTCTAAACTTGAGGGGTGTGGAGAACAAACTCAGCTGATTCCTCCTCCTTCCCTGGAATTTCCCTTGCCAGGGCACTGAGATCCAGATCTAGCTCTTCCTCTGGCACTGGAAGGCTCAGCATGGGGAGTAAAGTGGGGGTGGAAGAGCCTTTCACGCTGGTGCTGGTGCTGCTGCTTGTTGTTGTCATGGTGCTGGTGCTGGGGGTTATGGCTCTTGGGGGGCATACAGACTCAGGCACAGGCTGTGGCACTGGCACTGCTCCCCTCTCCTTGCTGCTTGTGGAAGCCTGATCCCTGCTAGTTGGAGGAAAGAGGCTGCATCTCAGTTTGGAGTGGGGGTTACTTACACCTCTACCTCTACCTGCTCTTCTGCCCCTCCCTGAAGGCTTGTTACCTGCCTTTCCACCACACTTCATGGTGTGTTTCATAATGTCTAGCTTTTACAAAAATATACAAATATATCTTTCTTCCTATATAAATTTATTAATGTATGTGTGCTGCAAGGTATAAATGTATAAAAACAAATGTAAATCTATCTTTCTTCCTATATAAATTCTATAATGTATGGCAGGATCACAGTCGCTGGCCAGCTACATAGTCAATATGACAGCAGTCCTTCCCCACCCCTTCCCCCCATCCTTACTTTCTGTTTCCCTGCAGGCAAGTCCCTGCAGGCAAGCCCATCTTCAGCTTTAAAACTCGAAATGTTTCAAAACTTTTGAAACATTTCGACTACCCTCATTTTGTTTTAAGGCTGTTTTGAAGTGCTTTGTTTTGCTTCAATTTCACTGTTTCGAGCTCAAAACAAGTCGAAACAGTGTCGAAACAGCCAGCAAAATTTTACATGGCCCTACTGAACAGCTCCTGAGAGTTGCTGTCTAGTTTGAAAGTCCTGGAATGAAGTGTTGAGTTGGTTCTTGGCTTTCGGGGCTCAACTCTTTTATTCTGCAGTATTTACTGTAGAATATTTACTGTTCCTCAGAGCTTTGGCTAGTGGTAAGGGAGAGGCTGAACTGCATCTTCAGACTCAGTAATGCTAGCATGAGGCAAGGTCATTTCCACTGAAGCACAGACCATCTCCTGTATCTTTTCCTTTCCCAAATCCCTTGTCTAAAAGCAAGCAGAATGCCACATGATTTACCCTAAACGCCTTTAATTTTACATAAATTATAGTATGTAAAAAAGGGGCTGTACTGATTTCTATAGAAACTGAATATCTTTATTGTCCCAAAAAATCCCAACTTGAGGTAGGTAGGTCTTTGCTCATTTAGTCCTACCAACATGCATGAACTTGCCCTGGGGGAAATGTGGTTAGAGCTAAAGATGAAATCCCATTTTCATGCCTATATACCAAATATGTTGATTGCTGTTAATCTTGCTGTTGTGGATTTTATCCTGTAAGGCACCTGCATTTCTTTCTTTTTTTTTTTTTCCTTTTCCCCCTCTTTTTGGAGATTACTTCCTCATTTCACATAGACCACTGAAACAGCTGTCAGAAGGCAGTGATGCTGGATAACATCTGTTCTGAGCCAAATTTGAATGACTGACCTAAAAGTGAAGAGGGTCTACCCTCAGTACCTTAGAAACCAATGTCTTAAGGAGACCTTGCCTGCTGATTCAAAGTTTATGCAGTCACCCAGGGTTTCAGGGAGGCTGTTCAGAAACAGTAACATTAAAAGGAGGAGAGGAGGACTGTTGCCATACCAGCAAACCTTCCTAACACAGATACAGTTCTAATGGCAAAACAGTGCTGGTACAGCTTACACCAATTAATATTGCTTCAAGAAACAAAAATACTCACAGACCAAACTGACATAGCTACTTTGGCAGCACTGAAGTGTGGACTTGCCTTAGCTAGTCTTTTTCAGGATGCTTGGATGCCGTAAGAAAGCTTTCCATATGGGAATTTAGAAGTGTCATGATGTCTGCTTCCAAGGCAACTGGTTAGTGCCAAAGGCACTGCAAAAAGTGGCCAAATGTGCAAGTAACAACAAGTATGAGGAGAATGAAACTACTAGATTTCTAAGTGCTCTTTTTTCTCTGTGTTCCCCCTCCTTAGGTGTTCACATGGACCAGCCATGCTGCCGAGCTCTGTATGACTTTGAACCAGAAAATGAAGGGGAGCTGGGCTTTAAAGAAGGAGATATCATTACCCTCACTAACCAGATTGATGAGAACTGGTATGAAGGGATGCTTCATGGCCAGTCAGGCTTCTTCCCCATCAATTATGTGGATATTCTGGTTCCTTTGCCCCATTAGGATGGCTGTTTCACCATCTCTTGACCCACATAGTTATATTGATACCACTGCTTTCAAAATGCTGCTTACTACAGCTCACAAGTGCAAACTGCAGTGGTTAGAGTCATCCAGTCCCACTGAGTATCTTTGATTTATGTGTTGTTATGCTCTGTAGTGGTGATGTGTGGTATCTTCTGACCCAGCACAATGTAGCATGCAGGTTCACAGGCTACGCTGTGTCAGCCTGTGATGGTGACCAGGCTGTTGTTCATATGGTGTTGGGAAACAAATAGCAAGCAAGAGTGATGACTTGGAGTGAAGTAGTGGAAAGCAGTTGGAGTGTTGGGAAGATAATGCCCATCACCACTGTACTACTTTTAAGTCTTAGTTCTTTATAAAAAAAGTTAAAAGTTCTTGCCATTCCATTTTTCCCTTCCCAAGGATATGGTTCACACAGGTCTAATATTGCCTAACCAGCATTGTGTCTTCTGATCAAAGTGACTCAGAATCCATTACTGTTCTCAGAGAGGCAGTATGATGTAGACCCTTTGGTTTCCCTGAAAGTGAACTACCATTGTACTGTATGTGCTGCTGACCTGCAGCTTGTTTAAATTCTGGATTGTTAACTAAAGGCCTATTCCAGCTGCAGATAAAATATGAACCATAGTAAAAAGGTCAGTAATACAAAGTTGAGTTACAAGCCAAAAGTGGCTGCTCTTTATAAACGTTGAAAATGATAAATACAATGCCAGCAGGAAGGGCAGGATGGGGAATAAAATTCATATAAGTGTTATCTCCTTTATGTGAAGTTTCTGGCACAAAAATGTGCCATTAAAGCACCAAGAGCCCTTAGTAGATTCATCCCCCCCCAAAAAAAAACAACGCCCCCCCAGAAAAGTCCTTTTATTTTTGTCTAAGTTTGTCTAAGTTTGTGTTCTTTGAACATCATTTGTGCATATTCTGCCCTCAATGAGGACTAAACAAAAATGATTTTTCTTTGTGCTGAGCAATTAAAGACTTGTGGCTGTATATACAAAAACTGTTCCCATACGTTTGTTTTCTTTCTTTCTTTCTTTCTCTTTCTTTCTTTCTTCCCCCATTTCTGCAACTTGTGTGTACAGTGCTGTGCCCAGCTTCCCAACATTCTTTTTGTAACAGTTGTAAGAGTTCTATTAGTTTAGTTTTCCAGAGTTCTATTTATCTAAATTGTACAGACTCTTTCAGAGGTTTAATATGCTGCTTCAGATGTGCCACTTCAGTACTGGAACATGTGAAATAAAGGCAATCCCCTACCGCTTAATGTATAAACTATATCATGGAAAGTATTGATATTTCAAATAAATAATGCTGACAGAATAACCAGAATAATATTGTGAATTATTCTTGTTGTCTCTTTCTGTTAGAACAATGGTCATACTAAGTGCCATATTATTCAGTGTTTTATTTCTTGTTTTATTTATTACTTCTCTTTTATTCCTTGACTGTAAGCTGCAAACCTAAGTATAACAATTCACCTTCCTTTAGTTTTACCAGGACTGAGTTTGCTTCTATCCATGGAAACCTGATCAGGTCCGTAACTAAAATGACTCAGGTAAAGAGGGTAAGCCAAGCCATGAATGTAATGTCATGATACATATGTAGCAGCATCTGGCAGCCTTCAGTGACAAGACACTTACTATCAGAGAGCACTGGAGATGACAACCTACTCTGTAGGTTGAAAGATCAGGTACATTTCAGTTTTGTTTCGTTTCTTTACATATATTTCTGTATTTCATAGTCTTATTTTTACTATTGTTTCATTTGACTTAGTTGATATGTATGTGTCTGTAGACATGCCAACAAGAATCATACAGCATAACTTTGAGAAGATAAATTTGTCATTTATTTTCTTTGGGGTTAATAAAAGCAGAATTCCTCTCAAAATATGCTCCTGTCCATAACTGTATTCTGTGTGCTCTGTACTCACTATTTCATATGCCTTATTGGCACAGGATCAGCTGCCCAAAAAACAAACCAATTAGTGCCCAGTTAGTATAATGCACCTCAAGAGTGCCAATGTGTTTTCCATGAGCAGCCTTTTCCATACAAAATAAAATATAAATAAAAATACTATACAGCCTATGACTCACTCACCCATATTCTCTCTTCCATCAACTCCTCCACTCAAAAAATGAAGAAGCGCTACAAATTCAAAGCTACCGTGTTAAGAAAACCCTAGAAAATCCAGGGCCAAATTCAGCCCTCACATGTGGCAGCAACTGAGAATAGCCTTACAAGCTCTGCACCTCCATGGATGCTGACAGAAGCATATGGTATTTGTAACAGAGAGCCAGAGACTCCCATTACTTCAAGAGGAGAGTGAAGCAGGCTAATCTGGCCATGTGGGGCTGCAGCAGAGGAGTGCAGGCTGGCTTTTAAGAAAAGGGGAAACACCTGTGTGTGGATGGAGAGCCACATGATCAGAAGGGGCGGTGCTTAGAGGCATACAAACCCAGGGCCTGAGGCAGAGGGGGAAAGTCTGGCCTTGCATGCAGCGGGGAGAGGAGCTTCTGGGAGAGATGGCTGAAGGAAACAGGTCCCCAAGCTACCTGAGACAGCTAGGTAGAGACAGTCAAGGGAAAAGTATGGTTTGTGGTGTGGCATCGACCCAGAGTGGAGTGGAGAACTTTGGTTGGAAGCAGTTTGCTTATATTTGTGTTTAAATTTAACTACCAGAGGACTGGGTTGTGATTAAGGGGGTGATATGGAGGCCACAGAGGAACCTGAGGGGCACCCAGAATAGATCCCTGGAAGAGTCAGGGACCTCCAACAGCTGAGCAGTATGAGAGCAGCCTTGCCTGTGTCATGGACCCCAGGAGATTATCAGAGGGATTATCAGGGATTACCCCAAGGGGAAGGAACTCAATCTGGAGTTCACCCAAGAACTGCCAGAGGCTGCGCGTGCATGGGACATGGTCATCATGAGTGATTTCAATTATTCAGACATCTCCTGGGAGGAACCCTCAGCCAAGTCCAACTGCTTGCGTTCCTTCCTGACCTGCACTGAAGACCTCTCCCCTGCAGTAGCCAGGGGGCATGGGGGTAATGCCTGGGCTCCAGGGAGTTGGGGGGAGCTGTCCTAGAGCAGGGAACAGCTCCCAGCTGTGTGGAGCTTGGAATCACAGTCCAGTTCAGCAGTGATGGTGATGCCCCATGGCTGAGAAGCAGCAGAACCCTGAGCTTTCCCCCTGTTTTGCTTGATGAGAGGATGGGGGAGCACTCTGTCCCCAGTCCTGGCACTGCTCAGCTCCCCTCAGGAGCTGAGCTGTGCCAGGACAGGGGAGTTCTCGATCCCTGCAGCACTGCGATGGGGACAGAAAACTTTCCCATCCCCTCAGCAAGCAAAGTGAGGGGAGAGCTCAGGGTGCTGCTCCTGCTCAGCCACAGGCAAGCACTAGGGCTGTGCAAAACAGCACTGTTTTATTTCGCTGTTTTGAAGGGACAGTTTTTCATTTTGCTGTTTCCAAGCACTGTTCCGTTTAGTTTTGTCAAAACTGTTTTGCTGTTTCGACATTGTTTCAATGCATTTTAATGATTATAATGGGGAACCATGAAAATGCCTATAACTTTGTCATTTCTTGCCTGATTCAGATGAAAATTGCAGGGATGGTAGCCTCTTCTGAGGGCATGAAGCCTGCCAAGTTCAAGGAGATAGGGGCGGGGGGGTTTTGTGAAGCTGCACTTCAAATTGTTCAAAGCAAAACTAATATCATTTGCCAGCAGCAGCAGCATGCTCTCATCCAGCATGCAGATCTGGGGGCCCACTTCCCCCAGGAGGAGTCTGGCACAGCCCTACAGCCCTCCCAGGTGGTGCGGGCCCCCAGATCTGCATGCAGGATGACAGCAGGTTGTTGCTGCTAGCTGGGGCAGTGCCAGCACCAGCACTGTGTTCTTCCTGGCACTCAGTGCAGGCTGCACTGGGCAGACTCAGCCCCAGGCAGCAGTGGCAGCATGCTGTCATCCATGTGCTCTGCAGCTGCTGAGTGCAGAGCTTTAAAAAAAAAAAAAGAAAAGCTCTGCACCCATCAGCTTTGGCAGTGGCGATTGGGGCCTTTGAGGGCTCATGGCAAAGACCCCCTGGGCAGTAGGGGGCATCGGGGATTTTCCCCCCTCCTGGTACCTGCGTGGCAGCTGCCCTGTGGTGCTAGTTTAGCTCAGCTCGGCAGAGTACCGTGCACTGTCCGAGAGCTGGGCCGGCTCCATGTGTCAGCTGGAGCTCTCGGTTCAATTTCCCCAGCTCTCTGATCATTCCTCCAGCTCTTCGCAGGGGGCGTGGCCCCTAGATCTGTGTACGGGGTTTCAGCAGGCTGCTGCAGCCACCTGGGAAAATAGCCCAGAGCCACCACCATCCCCAGCTGGCAGTGGCAGCCTGCTGTAATCCCGCATCATCTGGGGGCCCGTGCCCACTGGAAAGAGCTTGGGGAAGCAATCAGAGAGGCCGGGGAAAGATGGGGGAGCTGGGGAATCAAACTGAGAACTGAGTCCCAGCCCCTGGTTTGATTCCCCAGGTCTCTGATTGCTTCCCCCAGCTCTCTGATCATTTCCCCAGGTCTTCTTGGGAGGCACAGGCCCCTGATCTGCACACAGGATTTCAGCAGGCTGGTGCTGTAGGCTGAGGCCAGTGGCATCAAAGCAGTCTTCCTGGTGCTTAGTGTGGGCTACACTAAGTGGCTGCTGCTGGCCTCAGCCTGCAGTAGCACCTGCTGAAACCCTGCATGCAGATCGGGGGCTCACACCCCCCAGGAAGACCTGGGGAAATGATCAGAGAGCTGGGGAATCGAACCAGGACCTAGATGTCAATATCAAAGCAGTCCTTTTCCCCCTCCCTCTCCTTAGTTTCTGTTTAGCTGCGAGCAAGCCTGGCTTCGAAACTCGAAACATTTTGAAACTTTTGAAATGTTTTGAGTGCCCTTGTTTTATTTCAAAGCCTTTTGTTTCATTTTGATTTCACTATTTCAAGCTTGAAACACATGAAAACAGGTTTGAAACAAAACATCCATCAAAATTTCACACAGCCCTAGCAACCACCCTAAGACAGCACTGCTGAGTCAGGCTGTGATCCCGTGCTCTGTACTGGAGCTGGACAGCTGCCACTCCCAGTAGGGCAGTGGGAGCATGGAGCTTGGGTGAGCAGGATCTGGGTGTCTGGCTTGTGGCATGTAAGGGATGGTAGGGAGTATGGCAACCCCTCTACACAAACACGCATGGCACAAGCCCCCACTGCTGGTGGCAGCAGCAGCAGGTGGTGGGCCCTGTGGTGGGCCAGTAGGGGGCACTCCTGCATTGAGCTACCCACCTCACTGCGCCTGTCCACCTTCCAGACTCCATATGTCTCTCCAGGGGTGCCTAAGCCCTGGCAGACCTGCTGTCGAGCCCCACCACAGAGTCCGGGGGTAACGTGTGTTGCCACCACCCTGAGAAGGGACTCTCTCAGCCCTGTGTCCTTGGAGAAACACAGGTCTAATAGTCCAACAGGTACTCGACCCAGTACAGACACTTGGGGCACTTCCCCAAATCGGGGGCCCAAAAGGAAAGTCCCTCTTAGTCCGCAGACGTAAGGGGCTTCTTAGGCACAATTTAGACCCACCCCTCAATAAGTCTCCTACACAGGTCACAAAGGAGAACTTTATTGATTACAGGGGTAGGGTGAAAATCAGGTACAAGATAGAGCAATAACATAGGAATCCCATAGAGCAAAACAGTCGGGCTGAGGTAGCCTTTTGATCACACATGTGAGTTACTGACAGCTATATATCTAATCAGATCTTAAGTAACTTACTCACAAGCATCATCCCGAGGCTGTTGGAGATTCCCTCTGTAGGCAGGCCATTCCTAGCTCATGAGTTATGGAGGAGAGAACCAGTTTCAGATGGTAAAGCTCCTCTCTAAGTCTGAGTCCCCTGCATGGCTGCTGCCCGCTCCTCCTGGGCAGTCTTAATTTATATAGCCCCTGTGACCTCGTTCACCTGGTCCAATGGAGGCCAGCACCTGTTGGCTGTCGGCCAACCAATTTGAAATATATCACAAGTTGCCGGACAGACTCTAGCCCACCAGGTAGAAGCTCCTCACCCAGGTAGCTGATACCAGTCACATAGGCAGAGGGAGCAGGTTTCTCCCCCACTCAGGAATGTATCCATCTCAGGTTACCTAAAGAGATAAGGTAAAGGTGTGTCTCCTCTGCTGGGCCCATCCTAATCAAATTGTCACAGAGCAGAGATTTTGGGGAGAAACAAAGCTGGCTTCCTGCCACAGGCCCTTGGGGTGCTCATAGCCTGTGCACATGCAGCTGCCTGGCAGCACGTGGCTCCAGCTGGTTCCTG